TTTTACCCTTCTGATTCACTCCCCCATCCCGTTGGTGGGGGAGTGAGTAAGAGGCTGCGTGGTTCTTGGCTGCTGCTGGGGTTAAACCATGACAGGTGCCCTCCCCTCCCTGGCCCCACCACCCCCAGCACAGGTACCTCATGGAAGCCAAGTGCCTCATGGCGACATCCAGCGCCTGGACGGACTCGAGCGGGACGGGGATCTGCCCGCTGACCAGGGCCTCGTGCAGCATGCGCCAGCTGACGATGGCCATCCATTTGATGGAGACCTTAAAGATCCTGTCCTTGCCTTCCCCTGGGATTGTCACCTCAAAGTCGACCTGGGAGAAGGGAAGGGATCATGGCATCCCCGCAGGGACAAGAGGGTGTAGTTTTGCGCTGTGCAAAGGTCCCACTGCCTGCACAGGGCTCACTGCCCCCCTCACCCGCTCGTTCCCGATGGGAAGGGCCGTGACGGTGTAGATGTTCTTCTTCCCATCGTAGACTGGTTTTCGGTCACCAAAGATCTGTGGCTTGAAGTGCTGCACCATGTACTCCACGACTTCCCTACAAGGGCAAGGAAAGGGGCAGGAGGGAAGAAGGAGAGGTTTGTTTGGATGGTTTCTTTACAGCCCAACACCTTCTGCGACCTGTCCAGTCCCCCCAGCCTCCCTCCCCAGGGCATTCAAGAGCAGAGCCGAGCCCACCTGGGCAGGACAGCCCCTGGATGAGCAGCCACGTGCCTTGCCCACAGCCTGGAGCAGGAGTGTGCATGGCATGGGGGAACACACAGCCCCTGCACGTGTGCCAGGAGGGAAACCAGAGGCATGTGCAGCATCTGCTCAGCAGCCCTGAGGGCACAGAACTACCCGGGCTGCAGGGGCAGGAGGGGACAGGCAGAGAACAGGACATCAGAAAGGAAAACAAAGAGGAGAAAAGTACACGATGGCCCAAGGTCTGGGCTGGCTATTTTTAAATCGGGGATTGTTGCCAAAATAGCACAGCTGCTTCGGAGCGGCAGGACCGAGCTGAGACTTGGGACCTCCGAGGCTGCCAGGAGGAACCAGCACTGCTGCACAAACACAGCCAGGGGGTCCAGCCACCCGTGGGCACCACGACCACAGCATCCCCCTGACAGCTTCCATCACCCACACAGAGACAGGCACTTCTGGAGCCTCCACGAGGACACTGGAAGCAGGGAACAAGTGCCAAAACCTCTAATACTTGCCTTACCTGTTGACTCTGCGTGGACATTTGTCGGGCTTGATATCCACTTCATAATGATAAACATCGATCTTGGGAATGTCCACCTCAAAGTAGTTGGCCAAGAGCTTGATGGGTTTCCCGACAGTGCCTATCCCAGGCCGGCGTGGAGCTTGGAACACCTGCTGCAAGGGGGGCAGGTATGCACCTGCAGCTGTGGGAGAGAGCAGGGCTCAGGGCGCTGGGAGGAACCTGTGCCCACACAGACAGACCACCCAGCCTCGGTGCTCTGCCCCAGGGAGGTCTCCTGCTCCCCTGCTCCTGGCAGGAGGTGGCCTGGCAGAATTTGTAGTGGCACAGCTGGAAGCAGCTTCCCTGGGCACCACCCGGGGAGCACTGGAGCCAGCTGAGCCGTCAAAGGGCAGTGCCAGGTCACACTGCCTCTCTGGTGGGAGAGCAGCACTGGTTTCCCTGGCAGGGAGCAACAGCTCTGCCCCTCTCCGAGGGAATGCAATTCCCTGGATACTCTGTCAGCAGGGACCTACAGACACGTGCATTTCCCTTCATCCTCCAGCAAATTCCAACTCGCTGCCAGAGGGAGGATGCCACAAGAAACAGGAAGCACGTTACGGCATCTGCACTACTGCAGGGTTTTGAGGAAAGAAACCCCAAACCAATCCCAAATCCCCACTTCAAGCTGCGTGGGGACCCATACTGAGGGAAATACCAGTTTTCCCACAACTCCCATTCCACGGGCGCTGGAGACGCAGGGTGATAGCAACACAGGGCTGAGCTGTGTTTCTAAGACAACAGCACCCTCAGACTCGAAGGTATCCTAAAACATCGCCAAGGAATTATTCCACTCCGCTGCTCTCCGAGGGGAGCTCTGCCCTCCCTGCCCCGTTCCCACTCTTCCCATCCCAGTTTGCATCTTGCACGTGCTCCTCCAGGCCCGGGAGGCCCAGGCCGGTGCGGGGAGTGAGCGTGGGGGTGTTCAGAGCACTCCATCTGCGCGGCCAACTGTCCACGGCAGCCCCGAACGGTGTCCCAGCTCCAATTTAGGCTCCTGAACACATGGTGCTTTTAGCACCCCTTTCTCCCTTCCCCTTTCTTTTTAAATCCAGATTTCAATTCCAGGCTAAAAATAGCAGCAGCAGAAAAACAGAAGAACAGCAAACTAAGCTTCAGATTCGCCTTTTACTTTTGCACACAAACTCTGCAAGACTTGTCCTGCTGACAGAAGGTGACGATGCCACAGGATACCAAGGGATGGGATGACCCTTGTGAGCATCCAGGGGCTGAACTGCAGGAAACGCTCCGAAACCAACCGGGGTGACTGCCAGGCCCGCGGGACAAACGGCTGCGCCGAGCTCCAGGGGCAGCTCCTTCGGAGGAACTGATTTTCAGATGAGCTGTTCCTGGTGCAAGTCATGTCTCCACATGACCAGCATTTCTTGGCAGTGGCCAGGCTCCCTGGCTGTGAGCTGATGCGTTTTTACATCACGGTTCACAACCAGAGAGGTGTTTGCCAGCGCTGCTGGAGTCTCTGGTCTGAGTTTCAGAGAGGAACCACAGAGCCCACCCGTGCCAGACCTGCAGCTCTGCACTGCCTTCCCCAACACCCACAGCTCCTCCTCCTCTGATCACCTCACCCCTGAGACAATCCCATCAGGAGAGCAGGACGGCATCTCCAGGCGCCCAGGGATGCGGGATGCAGGAATGAGGACCAGGAGCACACGGTGCCGGGAATCCGGGCAGCACCACGCGGCACCGGGGCAGCAGGGAAGGGCCCGGTGACAAGATGCCCCGCAGAAAAGCGACCCGAGGCGCGAGGG